CCTCTCAATAAAAATGGAATACTTGATATCTTTTATACTCGACTAACTGATGCTTCTAGGGACCACCTAGATAGTTGTGCTGCTTGTGTTTTTAGGGAACGAACTGTTGAGCAAGCTGAATTTCAATTGACTAATATATTGAGCAATGATAATGATTGGACACTGATACGTCTCCAACGTATCTATAATTTTTGATTGTTCCATGCTATTATATTACCTATTTTTGGATGTTTATGGGCTTTACTTTACACTTTTATATCATTTTTGGGACTAACCTACTAATCGGAGGCCCACCCCATATTGCTGTTTTTTTTGCCTATTTCAGTATTTTGAAGAAAAGGAATATCAAACGGAGTCCAAACGGAATGAAACCTTCGGGAACGTGATTTGTGGAACAAACGTGATCGAGAGGACTTGGAGTGCAAGTCAAGAAGCTCCCGAGGCGGCCACGAGGGTGGAGGGTGCCCTCCTATAGGGCGCTCCCCCTATCTCGTGGGCCCCTTGGGCATCCACCGACGTACTTCTTCCTCCTATATATACCCATATACCCCGAAACCATCAGGGGAGCCATCAAAAAAGTATTTTCGCCACCGTAACCTTCTATATCTGCGAGATCCCATCTTGGAGCCGTCGCCGGCGCTCTGCCGGAGGGGGAATCCACCATGGAGGGCCTCTACATCAATCCCAAGGCCTCTCCGATGAGTTGTGAGTAGTTTACCATAGACCTTCGGGTCCATAGTTATTAGCTAGATGGCTTCTTCTCTCTTTTTGGATCTCAATACCATGTTCCCCCCCTCTCTTGTGGTGTTCTATTTGATGTAACTCTTTTTGCGGTGTGTTTGTCGAGATCCGATGAATTGTGGGTTTATGATCAAGTTTATCTATGAGAAATATTTGAATCTCATCTGAATTCTTTTATGTATGATTGAGTTATCTTTGCAAGTCTCTTCGAATTATTGGTTTGGTTTGGCCTACTAGATTGATCTTTCTTGCCATGGGAGAAGTGCTTGGCTTTGGGTTCAATCCCTTAGTGTCCTTTCCCAGTAATAGCAGGGGCAGCAAGGCATGTATTGTATTGTTGCCATCGAGGATAAAAAGATGGGGTTTATATCATATTGCATGAGTTTATCCCTCTACATCATGTCATCTTTCTTAAAGCGTTACTCTGTTCTTATGAACTTAATACTCTAGATGCATGCTGGATAGCGGTCGATGTGTGGAGTAATAGTAGTAGATACAGGCAGGAGTCAGTCAACTTGTCACGGACATGATGCCTATATACATGATCATGCCTAGATAATCTCATAATTATTCACTTTTCTCTCAATTGTTCGACAGTAATTTGTGCA